GATTGCGATCGTGTCGTAGATGCGATCGGACGGGATGACGAACGGAATGATGAATCGTTTCGCCGGAAGTATTCGGTAAACGAGGAGGATCCCTCGAGACTATTGTTCGCGCGGGCGACTCTCGTTGAGCCGCGAGTGCAATTACAAAAGCGATATGATTCACGGGACAGCGAAGAGCAGCTCGAGAAGCTCTGGGCTCTCCGGTTTAGCGCTCCCGGTGTTAAGCCCCGCGCGGTTAAGACGTACGACAAACACTCGCGCAATTATCACGATTTCCCTCGGTACGAATCTCCCGTATCTACACACATCTTTTTAAAGCCGGCAAACGCGGATGATTAATGCCGCTACTGCGCACACGCAATTAACCACACGCGTATTTTCCTGCGGGTACTCGATTCGTCCTCGCGTCTCTTTCCTTCGTTCCCAATAAATCAAACGCCTCATCAGCGCGATTCAGGCGCTGTATAATTTCGGCGAGACGACAAATAAGATTCCGAAGGAGAGTCCGCAAAACGGAAGGGGTATTTTACAAATTGTCGGCGCTCTTTTGTAACTGTTTTCGCCATCGTGGATTTCGTAAACGCGCGAACGCCGGAAGTGTGCGGATGATTTACAAAATTCGCCGCGCTTTAATTAAACCGGACGTGTAGAGGCAGCGAAACGCGACATACGCAATGTAAAGTAACAAGTGAAGTAATTAGCGCGGCTCTGGCACGCGGGGTAAACACGGCGTGATCGCTTAATCGAGCGTTATCATTGATTTATTTCGGTCTTTCTATTTCTAGCGTGCCGTTGACGAAATGGCGGCGCAGTTTATTCGAGAATCGGGAGGAGCGAAAACACAATGTGGTATCACCATGCACGCGTGATGTGCATTTAATGAACATATCCATAGACACATTGCATCGAATGAATCCGTGAGAAACTGTGCATATTAAATATATCGTGCGTTACATTCTCGTTATACTCCTAGTTAATATCTGCCGAGAGAAATGTTAGCCGCCAAGAGATGTAACACACGAGTCTTAACGATGCCAGTTCAGGGTATCTATCGTGGAGATTTGCCCTAGAAAACACAAAAATCGAACGCAAGCTATCGATTGAGCGCACTTAGAAGTTTATCGGATCACCGTTGTTGAGATCCGAAAATCTGAGAGCCTGTCAACTCGCGTACTCGCGTAAACTACACGGTCGGCGTCTCGCGCGCGTGGTTCTAGCTACGCTGAGGCCAACGGCACACGATACTTTTTTTTTTACTGGATTGTTTACGAATACCAATAAGGATGCAGAGTTTTAAGCCAACAGCACACAATACAATTTTTCTTACTGGATTGCTTACGAGAACCAATAAAGATGCAGAGTTTTAGATCAGGCGACTTAAATCTAAATTCTGATTGGCTCGCGTAAGTAATCCAGTAGGAAAAATAGTATCGTGTGACACTACCGTGTCTCGTGATAGAAATCTAGGAAATAATTGAACAATCCCGAACAATTTCCACGATAGGTATCCTGGTGCGATTGCTCGCCAAGGTAAACAAGGAGATTCGGCGAGGGCAAATGAGGACGTCAATTTTTCAAATGTTAATTTATCGATACGGCGTTTATCGTAGCGAAATACACGCGCACGCTACGACGATGACACATGTGCGTCGCGCTGCGTGCGTGTGCAAGACGGCGCGTGAACGCGAGATGTCTTCGCGGGATGCAAAGATTGCGCAATAGGACGAAAGAGTGGAAACGTGAAATTAGGCGTTAACACGGGCCGTCACGCACGAGCGTCCGCGCACGTGGTGCTCCACGTTTCGTTGGACCGGAACGAAACCGGACGAGTGCACGGGTAAAATGATGTTGCACGGGGACGGCCGACAATTTGCACTGGGTCTCGTCGTCCGATGAAATTTGACGATTCCTTGTCGAGGATCAGCGTTTTGCCGACGACGCGGCACGCGCGAACCTTCCGTTTTCTCTCGCGATAAGGGAAAATCACCCGACTCGGAGCATCTCGCTCCTTTCATCTCTTAACGCCACGACATGAGACTATTTACGCGTGAGCATTCTGCTGTGTATTCTGCCGTGATCGGAGTGGGGGATTCCTATGTGTCTTAGCGCCACCCTATATAAGCTTTGTGATTTCTCGCGTCACCTTGGTAGTTCCCCAATTCGGGCGAACACTTGACGAAGCTTGGCAACTCTTCGCACTCCAAGTAAGTCTCACTTGTTTTCTTAAAATCGTTATTATTAATAATAAGTGACTACTAATATAAATAACATGTAATAACGGCCAATAGAGTTGAATAATAAAGAGAACAAATGATCGAGTATTTTAATTAAAATAATTAAACAGAGTTCAATAATAGCGAATTTCGATTTTAAAAAATTATAATTTTAGTACACCTACGCGGTCATTCTCAACTTCGTCAAACTATTCGACTTGGTCAAAATATCTTACTCTCAGTCAAACATGCATGTGTTCAACAATATGAATGTTTGACTGAGGGCAAGATTTTTTTTTTATTAGTTTACCCTCTTGTGGAAACGCCTTTCAATAGTTAGGTTATATCAACGTGATATCTCTAACAATTTCTTGAAATTTACACTTAATCTTAATTAAACACTGAATCCAACATTAGGCGCTCAAACTTCTTCAAGCGCTAAATTTTTGAAATTTTTCTTAACGGGAAAATATACGGGACGAGGGCCGGAATCGAACCGAGGATCCTACTATTACTACACAGTTGGAAAATTTGTGTTTTCTCGTTAAAAAAACGCCGGTTAAAATTTTTGTGTTAAATGTTTAACACATTTATGTGTTAATTTAACATATTGCTTTTGTGTTAATTGACCTGAAATGTAAAATTATTAAAATAACTAAAAAGAAATGTTAAAACAACACAATGTATACTTATTTTTTAATCTTACACAATAAATATGTTCTATATTATTAGTAACAAGATTTATCCGTTAAAATTTACAGAATAAAATGTTGATTTTATTCTATATAACATAAGTGAGTGATTTCGAACGTCGTTTGACTTATTACATTCATAAAATGTATAAATTAACACAAAAATGTGTGTGGACCGTTTGGGACATGTGACATCTGTTGAATTTAACACAAAGTTTTCAACTGTGTAATCACTCGTGTTAGCACAGAGCTACACGTCATTCCACCTTATTATTAAATTCTTAATATTATTTTTAAAATGCGCCACGCTTATGAAGCATCAGCGAACGATGAAGTCAAGGATACTGTAAGAACTTTGCGAGAAAAAGTGTTTTATATATAATTATAGATTTAAGAGTATTCTTAATAATTATAGATAATTATAGATTTAAGAATATTCTTAATAATAGATGAAATATATATGTTCACTTGTATATTTTCTGTCTTTCAGACAAAAGAAATCTTGTATATTTCTGTATATTTCATATATATTAAAAATAATAAGAAAAACAGTTAAAAGATTTGGAAAAATAACTCTTCTGTTCTTTTTACACAAAGTAAAATTGTCACTAGAGAGATTTTGCAATTCTATATATAATTATATTTTTTATACGATTATTACATTTATATGTAACATAATAAATTATTGCACGGGCAATTTTTTCTCATTTTTGAAACTTCACTTTTTTAAATAGAAATAAGAAAATTATTTGTTTAATTATGTTTAAATTCTTTTGATTATTTTTTGCTTATATAGAGATTATACAAGAAAAAGAAAATACATATGGACATATTTTATACATAAGTACATAAAAAACGTTTCTTTCCGGATTGAGCTGTTTGCCAATCAAATACATCATTCTACCAAATAAAGCTTGGACTTTTACATTCCGTTTCACAAGACAGAATTTGACAGAATAGAAGTGGTAGAATTTTCATTATACATATATTTTTAGCAATACAGAGAGTTTCTCCTGTTACGATCATGAAGATTTCGGCGTGTAAAATTATCATGCGATCTCGGGTATCTCAGTTCTTATTAATGTCACGGTTCTTTATTGAAACAGAGATAAAATTCTTTGAATCTTGAATTCCCAATGCGCGTACAATTTACATTGGATTTAGGAGAACACGCTAATACCGGCCAAGGCATAGTAGTTAATAATAGTCGCGGTGAATAGACTTTTCCAATGAAATCATTCTTTACCGGCAAAATCAATAAACGATAAGCTGCCTGTGAGACGAGTCGAAAAATATTGACGGTAGTGTCGTCCGATTTATTCGGGGACCATCCGTCGGCCGCGTTTACGCCGACTGTCTGACCGAACGCGCTTGGTCCCCGGGTGGTGGAAATCTCTCGTTTAGCATGGAAATCCTAAAAATGTCCGGCAAACAAGGTTGCAGCGCCGAAAGATCCCGTCGTGTGTGCTCTCCTCCCACAGGGGGCGGCGAGGCGCAGACGATTCATTTCTTTAAGTTGTAACCGGTTGAAACCGCTGCTACACTTTATTCCCCGGCGTTTACCGCAACCGGTTGAAACCGCTTTTCGAGGATCCCGATATCGTTTCGCGGAGGGTTGCTGGATCGCGCGCGCACACTCGCGACAATGATTCGCTCGATTACGTATGCGCGCATGGCGACACGCGCTCCGCTATTCGTTACGTCCTCTTTTTCCTTATTTTTATATTCCGATGCCTTGATCCTATAGATATCGGGTCGCGGCGTCCGGTATTTTTACGATAACCTTCGATCTCGCCGAGGAGTTGTGATCCTTGCTCCAGTCACGGCGAGGTCGGCACACGTTGTGACTCGCGGTCCGCGTACGTCGATCGCGCGCCGCGACAGTCGGTCATTCCTTGTTTCCTTTAAGCGCAATCCCTCGCTGGTAATTGGACGACATTCATTTCGCAAATGTAAGTTCGCTCGCGCGAAAAATTTTCAAACTCCGGAGAGACTCAGCCCCGCGAGGGATACGCTCATCCTTGCGAACGTCTTCGCCTCCCCTCCAACGGCACCGCGGTCGGAAACGACGGCCACCACCGTCGGGTATATTGGTTCATATTAGTGGGAGATGGCAGGTAGTTCTGCTTTGGCGTTTCAACGCTCCGACACTCATTTCGTTCGCAAGCACCGCGGGTCAAGCGTCATTTGCACCGGCCGACACACAAATGCCGAGTTGCGATTCGTCTCGCTTGACACGATTGGACTAGGAACTAGGCGAGCATTGAGCCCAGCATCCCGAAATCCCGAGATCTCGGTGGTTCCCGAGATCGCATCCCGAGATCGCAGATGTATCCCAGGTGCGTCCTCGCGTCGTCGACCTAAGAACGCGTCGCGGATACCGTCGCGAGTACCGTCGAATTGTCCGTGTCATATGGCAACACGCGGCACACGTATCCCCCCCGACAAGTTGTGACAGCAATTTTTCATACGATAATTTTCGCAATAGCCCGCGGAAAGTGGACGTGCGCTACGACGCGTTGCCGGGAACATTAAGATGTTTCGCAACTGTGATACACTTGCTCGAGTAGTTGAGTGAAATGAGATGCTTTTCACGCAAGACATACTATATAAGTAATTGCAACGACGTGTCGCTGATTCAACATTGGCGCAAGAGGTACCATCCCTCGAGGAGTTGACACATATTGGGAAAAGTCAATCTGTAGAGCACTTCGAGATCTATTTTTTTGTGGAAGGACGTCTCATCGAATCCTTTCAAAGGGGAAATAAACGTGCGCGAGACTTAAAGAAAGACCTTGTTAAAGTAAGTTTTTATGAGGAAGCGGATCGATCGTTCTCGCGTGTCAATATCATCGAGATACAAACTAACAGGTATTCAATCACTCAATCTTCAATTAATAAATGAATTAGTAAGGGTTTTTGACCCCTGTTTTGCGCCTTTCGAATATTTCGCGCGCTTCTCTCCGCCGATATCGTCACATAAGATTGACGTCTTTTATTGAGATCGACGATAATTACGAATTACTTGATTCTTCGGCGCAGCGTTCTTTATAGTTCACGCCAATTCGAGATCTTCGCGGAACGGGCTTGACCTCGTTTCGTCTTCGCGCATTATTAGCATTAAAAATTAGTGTTATTAGCTGGCAGCTTGAAGATGTTGATGCAAAATATGAGACGCAGTTTGACTTTCGACATAACTTTTCAGGACCATTGCTTAACAAATGCAAGTACAAAATGTGCGCTAACAACTAGTTTTATATTACAACTAGCTTTATTAGTGTGAAGCAATTACAAAGTTTGCCTCATGTAAACTAAAACATTCTCTTGCGTATGCTATTGCATTAATTGTTATAACGATACATAAAAAATATCAGGCTAATTATTTTCATTTTTCTTCTTTTATATTTCAAAAGAAATATTTAAAAAAAATGAATCGTTCTCGTTTTTATATTCTTGTGTAAGAATATGATATGTTGTGTCAGGAAAGACATGCTAATAGCTTCCACAATTACAGACTGAACGTACATTTCGTTTAAATGCATACTTTCAGTTGTTTTTCAAATAATAGAGTTACTAAAATATTTTTTAAATAAAATTACTTCTTTTTTGACAAGATGTATATGACTTACACTTAAACAAAAGTTTTAAATTATTTTTTAATACGTCTTATTTTCTTTTTAATGGAATAATATATATATTTTACTGGAGTTTTGTAAGTATTTTATGGCAAATTCAATAATATGCAATACAAGTAATTTTCGATAGTTTATGAAATATTGTAAACGCGTTGCTTTATTTTCCTTTGAAATATCAAACTACCACGTTATTGTTGCTGATACTGAACTACTACTGCTATTATTGTTAAACTGCTAAGATTAATAAACAATTTTTTCTCGGAGATATTTTATATTTTCGCTCATATAAGCATCGATTTCCATTAGGTATATATAAAAGTCAATATAATGGCTAGCAGAGTTTGATCATATACCGATGTACGAGAACAAATTATTATAAATTGTATCTTTATAAGAGGAAAAACGAGCACATCTTTTCTTCTTTAAGCTAATGAGTTGTGCGCATATTTACAGACGCTAAATAATAATGTGTTTTGTCAATACTTCAACTTTCATATCGCTACAATGACAATTTAACAGTAAATTATTCAATTCGAATTAAGTAATACTTTGTGGAAGTTACAGCAGTTTCTGATACAACTCACATTTGCAATCATCTACAATTCTAATCTAAGAGAGAGATGACTCAATATCATGGAATACCCTCTCCTTAATAACATTTTCTTCTTTCAGAGTCGATTTTTCCTCGATAAGAACGATGATTGACTTTTGAATTGTAAAAGATACATTGAAAAAAGGTTGTTCACTTTTTATTTTATAATTTGACGTTTCTTCTGTAGAATTTATCGATTTCTTAGTTAAACGTTGGTCTCTCTCGACACTTTCATAAGAAAAAAAAATTTGCTTGTATTAACCAAAAGGATCTATCGCTACAAAAACCGGTTTGACGATTCCCTATTACGTATCCATATTTTTATTCTCCAACTAAATGTAAATTATACATATTGACCGCAACTTCGTCGTTCTCGATAATAATTACGATGTTAAGATGAATAATTAAGATAATTACGCTCATTGTAATTATTGCAGAGAACATACTTAGAAACATTCTGCTTGCTGGATATCAGCTGTTTTATAAGAAAAATAGCTAATTTTTTCATCCGAAGCTTCGAACGCGAACTTAATGGTCGCGGGCTCGCAAACAGCCAATTTTAATCGCGGAGGAAACGATTCTGTGTCGCGGCGAAACGTCGCGAAAGGACGCGCGTGATGTTCGTTCATTAGCGTCAGGATGTCGTGTCGTTTTCTAGAATGGCGTTAAACCGCGAAACGCCTCCTTCGCAATTACGTCGTTGAGCTTCTCTCTTTTCAGGATCGGCGGTATAAACGGCCGACCAAACTCCTCAAATAAATGCAATTCCCCTACAGTGTCATTAAACATACAACATTATCGTATTAAAGTGTCTGAAGAGGTAGATTATATATACGCGGCATATTAAACGCTTATACTTGGCGCGAGACACTACCGTGTCTCGTGTTCTCTTAATGGGACAAAATATACCGCGAATGACGAAGATCTTCACAGTGTGGGACTTCTCTATTTATAATAAAATATTTCATCGCATCACGCATAAGTCATCTGCCAGCAAGAGTGGCATATACATTTCATACCCAAGTATTCGTTTACTTTCGTAAAAATATTAAAGCTCCCGAAATTCGAGCGTCAACTTTTGCCAAACATCCGAATCGGATCAATAACGGCGTAGGGGGTGAAATGCCTCTCGGACGATGATATACTTGTCCGGAGAAACAACCCTTCAACGAGACCGTGTGGCCTAACGGATAAGGCGTCGGACTTCGGATCCGAAGATTGCAGGTTCGAGTCCTGTCACGGTCAATATTCTCTTTTTTTTCACGTACTCGTCCGGCATATCGCCGTCGAGTGATCCCCGTATATTCCGAACAATCCAATTATTGGATTAAGTCGTTATTTTTTTTCTCGTTTTCCGTCCTTTTGATACGCACGCCCATGCTCGCGCGTGCTTTCTGTCTTTCCAATAAAGTGACTCGTTTCATTTTGTCGCTCGTATACGTAATTTTGGTTTCGTCGTTTTAACATCTTAACGTTATCGTCTCGGGTTGTCTTTTATCCATTTGCAAAGAATTGGCATCTCTCTACAAGAGTGACTCGCTCAAGATTTACAACGTCTGGTTCGCCACAATCATCTCGTCGATAGCTAATGACCAGTAACCACGACCAGCAGTTGACGATGTATACCGAGCACAGATTAGCGCGCGAGAGGTGTTACGTGCGATCGCTTGTAACGCTTGCTCATAATAGAATTGTGGGAACTAGTAATAATTCAAACGATCGCGAAACAGCGCGGATTTGAAACACGTTCGATGTTTTTTTTCCCCGAGTGTACCAAGGACAGCCGAGGTTCCAAAGGCGCTAATCGCCTTCGAATGTGTAATATTATTCGCAATAACGTATCGCGCGATCAGCACGCCGGCGAGGAGCAAGAAATAATACAATGCAAATCATTTAGATGTGATGCAAAATAACGCCGACCTTACTCACCGACTTTGATACACGCAATTCGAGAAACGCAATGCGTTACTCGAGAGTCGAATGCGCGGCTCGCGCACCGGGGCCGGTTTATTTGATAATATTACCATTAGGAAGGAGGCTGTGGGATCAAGAGGCAGCCACTGGTCCCGGGGACGATCGCACATTCGTAGATCTGCGCTAGGTCACCGTTCGTATTTACCGAGGTCCTATTTTCCCTGATTAATCCAATTTCGCTCGAGGCTAATCCCGCTCGCGAATTCGCGCTAACGGCAACACGCGACAGCGCTTCGTCGCGAAATTACGGGTTCAGACGCGGGAATGTCGACCCACTGTGTGTCCAACTAACAACTGGTACTTTACGAATATTGCATCACACACACTCGACGTTGTTAGATGAATTCGTATAATTTCGTCCGCGCCACTCCGAGCTCCATTACGAATAAACCCGTTGAGCGACGTAGCGACGAGAACCGGTAAAAATGGGATTTCTTTTTTTTTTAAGGACAGAACAAATCCGCTCTTTCTCGACGAGCCCGCGAGCTGAAAGATTTTAATTGCCGATTCGATCTGTTTCAGTTCACGAGCGAGCGCGAAGCCCAGCCCCGCCGACGAGCAGCAGATCAGTGCAGATTCAGCAGAAAGACTTCACCCGGACCCACTGTTCGACCACGCCGGCCTGACACTCGACAAAGCTTCCTGTCGAACGCAAAGGCTCGATATCTGACTCTTTTTAACTAAGGCAGCTTCACCCACACGCGCCGACATCGTAGAATGGTAGAAGGTGAACCCGGCACAAAGCGCAATATTAGTACGTACGGCTCTAAGATCTCCTAGGCCAGTACTCATAGTCCGTTCTTATATTTAAGACCATCTCAAGTATGGTCTTAATGGATTGTAAACAAATCACAGAGCCGTATTAGCATTTTGAAATATTACTTAAAATGATCTTGAAATAAGAACGGATTCCGGCCCTAGATTACCTTTAGCCTGATTTGTGTCAGGTTGCTAACAATCTCAATTTCGCGTTGCAGAGTGTGATGTAAAAGACGAGCGGCTAAACGGTTGCGGTTCCAAGGAACTCGAACTTGCCTGTAGGTACAAATTCACCTTCCCGTTATATAATCACGCTGAACCTATTGATTTATCACCGATCGCGCCCACTCTGTTATCAGGTATCGGATTAAAGGGCAAAACACTCGATCCAGAGAAGGGGTCTTTCGTTCAAGCTGATTTCGAGAAGGCTATCGAACTAAGCGGTGAGTTTACTTCATTCGCGTCTCGTTGAAGCATCTCTTTTCTTCGTATCACCTCATTGTCGCTTCGTCCTTTTCACAGAATATGGCAAGTTTCATTACTTCCTACTCGCCGTGTGCGGCTTCGTCAGCACGAGCGAGGAGATGGACGTGATCTCCATGTCCTTCATCCTGCCGAGTGCGCAATGTGACCTGAAGCTCGATACTCAAGCGAAGGGATGGCTCAACTCGATCATCTTCATCGGGATGATGGCCGGGGCGTACGTCTGGGGCTCCGTAGCGGACGCCCTCGGTCGTCGGAAGGTCCTGATCGCCATCTCGTTCATGAACGCCCTGTGCATCGTCGCCTCTAGCTTCAGCCAGACGTACGAGCTCTTCATGTTGTTCCGTTTCCTAAACGGCGCGGCGTAAGTATCCGAGATATCGAGTCGCGTAATCGCGACCAGCCGCGTACGACGTAGCCGCATTATGTGTGCTCGCTCAGCAACGAAAGGGTTGAATAATTTAGTGACGTTCCAGGCTAGGAGGTAGCGGACCGGTCATCTGGTCGTACTTCGCTGAATTTCAGCCGAAGTCCAAACGCGGCTCCATGCTGTCGTTCATGGCGGCGTTCTGGACGTTGGGGAACCTTTTCGTGGCTGGTAAGACAAGAGTTTTAGTCAACTTCGTTGATAGATGTATGCTCTTTCCGCGCGAAGTATATTCACAATCTCGATTTTTCATCCGCAGGCTTGGCGTGGTTGATCATCCCTAGAAAGATGGGTTACACGAGCTCATCGTTCACGTACAATTCCTGGCGAATCTTTCTCCTGATCTGCGCTTTTCCGTCGTTCGTCGTAACGGGATTGCTTCTGCTGCTCCCCGAATCCCCCAAGTACCTCTTGTCTTCCGGAAAATACGAGGAGGCACTCGAAATTTTTCGCAAGATATACGTCATTAACACCGGCAAACCAAGCGACACCTACACGGTAATTAGATTTTGAGCAAGTTAATCTGCGAGTGCTCGCGTGGAAATCAAACTGATCCCAGAAGCATGAACATTTTTTATATTCATTCAAAATTATTAGTTTGCTTAAAAAACATGTTTCAACTTATAATTATAAAATAAAAAATTTCGTTTACACATAAAATATAAATAAAAATTGGATCCTCACGCGAGCACTTGCGAGTTAAGCTAATCGGCGTTATACAGGTGAGAGGTTTTAAATTAATTTTAAAATATTTGTAATTTGTCGCACAGGTAAAGGAATTGATCCTCGACGACTTTCAAGAATCGAGCCCGGTGAAGGACGAAGTCGAAGAAAAGAGCAAGTGCAAGACTATGCTGGGTGACATCGTGGAGAACAGTAGACAGCTATTCGTAACGCCCATCCTTCGCTTCACGATAATATCGATCGTTATTAATTTCACTTTCCATATCGGTTACTACGGTCTGATGATGTGGTTCCCGGAGCTGTTTAACCGATTCGACGAGTTTCATCGCGATCAGCCGGGCGAAGTGGCCTCGATATGCCAGGTCACCGATTATGTCGTTAACAAGGGCTCGCACAGCATCGAGAACGTTTGCTCCGACAAAATCGGAGCGTCCGTCTTTATGGAGTCCCTCATCACGGTGGCGTCCGCCATACCCGCTAATATCATCGCTGTTTTAGGGATGGATCGCCTTGGGCGTAAATTCTTTCTAGGTATTTATCTTATTGTTTGAAGACAAGGAAATTGTCGCGACGAAATGCGGCATCTTGCACCTCTAACATTATCTTATATCCTTCTAGTGTTCAGCACGTTTTCGTCGGGACTGTGCTCGATCGGCTTATACTTCGTGTACAACAAATATCAGAATTTGACCGTGTCGGCTATCTTCAGCGGCGCGATAAGTTGCGGCAATGCAGCGCTGGATTGTCTCATCACCGAAGTGTTCCCGACGCAGCTGCGTGCAACCGGGATCGCCATTTCGATGGTCGCCGCCCGTCTTGGCGGAATAATTGGTAATATCGTCATAGCCCAACTCCTGGACATGTATTGTCCAGCACCGACTTTCATAGTGGCTGCTCTTCTGATTGGTAAGCGCGTCTCATATCGTACTTTACTTTTATCAATTACTTGTTCAATTTGGATTCTTAATGTTTTCACTCGATATGTCTCGTCTTACAGGAGGAGGCTTGCTGTGTTTATTCCTACCTAACACAACGCGCGAACCACTCTCCTGACCTCAACAAAAGTTCATCGAGCAACAGTCTATCGATCATTTATATACTTCTGTCGAGAACACAAGTGTCGTTGAATCTTGGAATCATGGAGTCCCGAGCACCACGCGACGATTGCACAGTAGCGTTGCAAAGAGAAATTTCAAGTTCAAAATTATTCTCATTTTGCAAGTAGGAAACTAGAATCTCTGCTGGTCATAATAATCCCTATTATAGGTAAAAAAAAGCGTAGAACCATGTTTACGCAAGACGTCGTAAAGAGTTTAGCAAAAGCGGAGAAACGAGAAAACGCGTAACATCTAGTTTGATACACAAATTAGGTACCTTAGTCGAATATTTTATACATATACTGACATTAATCGCAGTATTTAAATAATAAAATCCTTGAACTAATTGCGATTTATAATAAATAAATATATTTTCTTATCCTTCATATTCTCAATTAAAGAACGAGATCGAATAAACTTGTTATCGCTTTATGTCGCAACGGACGTAACTTGATATACCGATGTAAAAAGAAATTAAAAAAGAGCAACACATTCCTCCAGCGCTTTCGATATCCTTCACCAATTTTCTATCTCTATATCGAGATTGAATCCAAATAGTACACAAAATGTATAATACATCTAATAGAAATGGATTTGTATAAGAGAACTAACGATGAATTCTCAATTCAATTCTAATCCTCATCCCAAGTTCGTCTCGATTTTACGAGATTAATGGAACAGTTGAAGATTATAAACAAAAAAGGTATAAAATAAATAGTGCAATCCGTTTCGGAAATCCATATTTCATTCGGTACATCTTGACCTGTCGATGTTCGGGATGGGATGTAAGAGATTTGAATGTAAAAGTGAATACCAAGCACCTGTTTTTCCAGCATATATTCGTTTATATAAAGTATGATGTATGCGAGGGAGTAATAATTACTCCCTCATCATTTTCTCCTTTTGTCTAGCGAGCTTTTTCTTGCTGAGTTTCTTTTTCGACGGCTCCTCCTCTGTGGCTTTCGCAACCACGTCTTCCTTCTCTGTCAATATCACCTCAATATGACAAGGCGAGCTCATGTAAGCTGTAAGAATTACAAGTCTGAGCATTTTGGCTAATCCAAATTGTTTTAAAGAACCGGAACTCGTTATAAAGTTATAGACACTTACGATTTATGCGACCATGTGCTCTATATGTTCTTCTCCGAAGACAAGGCGCATGGTTCACCTGAATGTGCTCGATTACAAGGCGATCCACATCCAGACCCTTGTAATCGGCGTTGCTCTCCGCATTTTTCAGAAGCTGCAGCAGAAACTCTGCAGACTTCTTAGGCCAACGACCTGAGCGAATAATTAGAATATACCGTTAACAATTAGAAGAGCTGCCATAAGTCTAGTTAGATTCTCTCCCTTTTAACCAATCGACACACAACCTTTCTGAAAAAGCACTTTCGCACGTGTTTACCTTTCGAATAAATTTAAGAATCGAGCCTCCAAACTCAATTTAATCATCAATTTGTTTCTACAAATTGACTCAGGGACAATATCAGTAAACTCTATACTATACTAGAAGATCTACTGTCCTCTTGAAGAAGATGGACAGGGTGAGATGGACAAATGGTTCCCATTTCTGTCGCTTTCTAGTGATTCCGATTGATTTTCTATCTCACCTGACCGGTGACGTTGCAACATGCTTAAGCGCCCCTACGCTGGGATCCGCTCGCGCGCTCCTCTAAATTTTGCACCCTACGCTGGAGCGTCATTGCATACCGCCTAGTAACATCAATTGTGAAGTTACAACATGCTTAGGCACGGTTTCATCAAACGTCGCTTAACTTTAATCTTAATTTAATTCATGTTTGTTTCTTTCTAAAGTAAAGGTGAAAAGAGACAAAGAACGAATTAAGCTAAGCTTAAAGTTAAACAACGTTGGTGAGGCCGGACCTGCGTCCACGATGCTACAACTTGGACAAAGTCTACCCCTACGCTAAGACTAGCTTGCGTGCCTCTCCAAATCTTGTGCCCTACGCTGGAGTGTACATTGGCCATTGAATACCGCCTAGTAACTGCACCTGATATAAATGAGATAGAAATCTTGAGACAGAAAATTATTTGCCAATCAAAATCACCAGAGACAGAATGGAAATGGAGCCACTTTCTTCTTCAAGAGGTCAACAGGTCTTCTAGTTTACCGGACGATATACGCAGAAATCGCGCGCTGACATACCTTGCGTGGTGCCGAACTGCTTGGCTTGGGCGCACCTGCCGACGCCGCCGTTGAACCTACGGAAAGGAACGCACTCCTTGTGTTCGATGACGTTCTTCAGGTACTTCTGCGCCCTCCGCAGAGTCATGCTTTTGACGGCGCGCGCAGCCTCATGGGTGTTCTGCAAATCGTACCGCGTTTCGTAAACATCTCTGGCAGAGACTGGCGCGGTTTGAGGTTATGCCTCCTCGGAGAGGCGTGCTTACCTTGAAGTGCACCCGAAGATTGGAACCGCGCGCTTTGCACGACTTGGTCTGATTGACCGGCTCGTGGGAGTAACGACCCATCGCGTCCTGAAAGCACAGAGACAGATCAAATCAAAATCCTCTCCGGGATTCCCTCGCGATCCCGCGAGATCGACGCGGCCAGCAGCGGCCTTGGACCAGCGCGCGTCATGCCACGCTTCTCGCGCGATTTCGCGGCGACGGGACACATCTTCCGCGTCTACGTCCTGGCCACAAGTTTCTTACTCAAGAAATTGCCCCTCGCGAAACGGATACGTCGACGATGAGCGAGATACGCGCGGATTAGGGGAATGCGACGGGTCGGCTCATACATACCTCTCGACACCACGATTTTAAAGGAAGAGCCCTAACCTCACTAATATCCCACTTCCTGTAGAAGAGCGTCAGCGCTGCCAACTGAGGATCAAGTGAGGTCCTATCAGAGAGAAGCTTGAGAGCTGCCACCTGGGCCTAAATTCCGTACACGATTACCGACGACCATCGATACGTTAACGACGTTTGCGCAGCTTTTCTATCATGTAGAAAAAGCTGCGCAAACGTCGTTAACGTATCGATGGTCGTCGGTAATCGTGTACGGAATTTAGGCCCTGGGGGGGAAAAATTCATGAGCACGTTGGGGGACTTCAGCTTTAGCCACCTGGCGACACTGACCGTGTCCCAGCTTGAGAGAGAAATCTTCAATTAATTAGGGAAAAAAACGGTGCGCATTAATCATGTCATTGCCATTAGAGGCGTTAATATAGAGACGTAGGTATCAAGAAAGAAAATATATTAATAGAATACAGTTTTTTTCGTTTAGAAGCGCACACAGTACTGTGCAAACACACATGAATGCCTTGTCAATAACAATGCAGATTGGAGGTTCTGATGGAACTGAGCGGTTGTTTGCTGCAAGGCAGTCGCAATGTTTTTATGTGTGGTTGTGAGGATAAATTAAGGACATTTAAATGTCCTCACGAATCGGCATTAAGTATTTTAGACCGACCAAACTCTGATTAATTTAATCGCCGGTAAAATTACATGCAAAGTTTCTAACTATAAGTCGCCGTTCTAATATATTAATAAAATCCTTTTCTCTCCCGCAAGTGCACACAGTGCTATGCAACGTACATGAATGATTTGTCAATAGCAATGCAAATTGCGGTTCTGGTGGGACTGAGCGATCGTTTGTTGCAAGGCAATCGCATTTTCTTGACGCGTGGTTGAGAGGATAAAGTAAACATGTAAATATCCCAGCAAACGCCGAAGTAACAGTTGCATAACATCAATATAAATGTAATATAACACATGTCTGTTATATTACATTTGCATTGATGTTATGTAATGTTACTTTGGTGTTTGCTGGGATGTCATGAATCAGCGTAAAGTATTTTAAAGCGACCGAGCTCCGATTAATTTCATCACCGGTAGAATTAGCCTCGGTCTACGTTGCTTAACTTGGTTTAATTCACGTTTATCTCTTTCTAAAGTAACAGTTGTAAAGAGACAAAGAATGAATTAAGCCAAGCCCAAAGTTAAACAACGTTGGTGAAGCTGGATCTTGCAAGCGAAGTTTCTAACTATAATTTATCGTTCTTAATATAATCTTTCCTCCACACACGTTAAACAACGAAAACACTCGCGATTCTTTACACATTAATACAACAATATCTCATAATTAATTAATCGGAGTAGTCACTTTTACAAACGTATCAATACTTTTCTGATATCTTGGAAGCTCTAAACTCTCTCTCCATCTCTCAGGTGACTTGTACGGCGCCTTTTAGTCGCTTGATAAAATGAAAAGTTACTTTAATACCTCGCTGCCTGCTGTTGTCACTAATAATTGCAATATGCAATTTTCTTTCCTGTTGCAGCGGAAACTTGATTTGACAAATTACGACACGCGCCTCTGCCCATAATGGCTGGAAGTGGCAAGACGGTGGTACTGTGCAAAGGGCTGTCCGAAAAGAGCGACCGGCAGGAGACGTACGCCGAGACGTTGGAATCCGCTGGTTATCGCTGCGAGTGTTTGCAAACATTGAAATTCACATTTGTGAATATCTCGGAACTGCGAGCGTGTCTGTCAGTAGCTAACAGATATAGTGGTAATGTGTCACATTACTTGTAACATAATTAAGTGTGTATGTTATGCGTTAATTCCTGGATTGCAGGTTTAATATTAACGAGTCCCCGTGCGGTTGAAGCCGTTGCGCTGGCAGCGAGAGGAGACGCTGGCATTCTGCACCATTGGGAACAGCTGCCGGCGTACTGCGTAGGGCCCGCGACGGACTCCCTCGCGAGAAGTCAACTCAACTTGCAGCATTGCACGGGCAGCCAGTCCGGGAATTCAAAGCGACTGGCCGAGAAGATCGTTCTCGACACGAAGAAGGATTCGAAACCATTGTTATACCCGTGCAGTGAAATTGCGCGTGAAACCCTATCTTGCATCGTCGAAGACAATGGGATTCCAATCGAAAAGATCGTGGTTTACGAGACGTTAAAGAGCGAAACGCTCGAGCAGGAGTTGCCGAAGATGCTTGACAAATCTTCCAGTATATTTGTTTTCTTCAGTCCCTCTACAGTGAAATATATTAAAACGCAGCTGGAGAGAGATTTTTATAATATCAAGGATATAAGAGCGGTAGCGATAGGACCTGTAACGAGAGATGCGTTAATTAATTCTGGTTTCAACGTGTACGCCACTGCGGATAAACCTGAACCAGCGGCTCTGATACACGCGATCACAGCTGCCGAGTCGACGGACGAGTCTGAGAATGTTTTATGAAAATATGTACTGGCACAACTTGTCAACATTTTTAATATTTTGACATTTGCAACACATACATTTCGATGTATAAATGTCTCCTATTTTATTTCACAATAAGAGGACTCTTGTCCTCCAGTTTATGAGTTTATTAACAATAATTGTGTAAATAATGTATATAGAAGGTATTCTAGAGAGCTATAAAAGTAAATATGTTAAAAGGGCGTTTCTGTACATATACATATCTCCTCATAATTATAACTCGGACTGGGATCATCTGGGCGTTTCCTCACATCATGATCTTTTTACTCAGAAAGACTAACCTAAAATAATTGCGTTGATAAAAAAAAGAACGCTCTGCAAATTTGTGCGCACATGCATATTACTTTGTTAATAATTTTAATAATGTAGTATATATTTATAAAGTATTAGATATTTTAAAGAATTGTTGAAAACAAAATAGCATATATAAAATACACAATATATATTTTATATAAATTATATATATAGATATAGCATATATAAAATATATTCATATATAATTATAAATATTTTATGTGCAATATTTATGAATTATATATATGTAATCTCTTTCTTTGCATGTTAGTCAAAATACTTTGCCACAAATTCACACACTTTCTATCACAAATCAGTCGGTAAAAGTTTTGATACTAGGCGATTTTGTATCTCATTCAGTTCAGTACCTATTACGATTTACACCCAGCAGGCACGAGATATCCGAACCAACTATCGCAGATTGATTCGCATAATAAGGCTGAGACGCGTTTCCCCCGTTGTTGTATTTCATTTGGATCGCCGTTTCGTAATCGGGCGCCGGTCTATACGACGGTAATAACGCGCGCAAACTATTTATATCGGTTGACGAGACAGACACAACAGGACACGGTGACGGTATCGAGAGATCGTTGTAGCTTGTCCACCGCGTGTGCGTGTCCGAGGTTCGATGCCCGAGGTGATCAGAGTTCACGGACACTGCTTGCTCGCTCGAATCGTTTGTATCGTTATCCTGTAATGATATATTAACATTTTTAATTAAATCCCGTATTTTGTATTACTACGTGTAATGCAATAAATAAATGCCAATTTACGCACACAGCAGCCACTAGATCTTTCTTGTGGACGGCGTTCTTGATACTGTATATAAAATAAATGTTGAGCTATACACAATTTCCATATATATTTCGCATCGCGCGACTCGGTAAACACAAATTGCTTCGCCTCTTCACATTTATACTCTATTCTAAACGTTTTCTTCTGATTTATGACATTGCTGATGTCTTTCCACCTGCAAAGTATACATTGTTTCATTTCTTATGTGCCCCGCGATATAATTTTCAGCGCGCATTCAAGATCGTCGTGTATGAAGTAAAAAGAAATAACCTGTAAAACTGCGTCGTTTGTGTATTAGGGTAAGCCACCATAATTCCGTTGATAGAAATTCCAAGGATAACTTTGTTGTTGCTGCTATCCTGAAATAAGTAGTTGACAATTGCAGCGCAACAAGAAGAGTTAAATCAACTATCGCGCTATTATCAATACCGCGCCATTCGTACCTTGGCAGTAAACGTTTCGGTGCCGTATCCCTCCAGTTGCATGGCAATTGAGATATACAGTTCTTCCGCAGTAGCCTGCGTCATATTGACAAGACCCTTGTACTGGCATATCGCCGTGTGCAAGAGAGAATCTTGCCCACCCGGGTCGGCCTTGTTCACATCCTGAATATAGACATACCGAATTTAAATTCACACATTTACAATTGGCGCAATGTAGCTTTGCCAGTTGGTATTACATTTGGGAGGAAAGTGCACTGCTGGAGATACTCCAGCGTGTGTCGCTCCGGACTGTAATTCCCGAACTCGGCCTGCATAGAGTAGCTCGCCAGCACGCAAGCTTGCCTGTAATTACAGTGTATCTTGTTCTCCAGCACGTCGTTCTTCAGTTGAAGATAATAGTGGTACCTGCGGAGGAGGAGAAACTCAAATTTACATCTCCCAAGGGACTCGCGGCAGACGACGGCGAGTCTACCTTGTCATCTCGTCCTGAATGAGCTGCGCGTCCACAATGTAGTACATAACCCTTAAATAAAGTACGAGGCTCTTGGCGTCTTTCTCAAGCTGCCTCTTCAGAGGCTTGTCCATGTCTATCCATCGAAGCGACAACGTGTTACGGCAGACGTAGCGCAGGCTGAAGTACTCGGGCTGCCCAAGTCCCAAGCGCTGCGTCACGTTGTCCAGGCACTCCTGGCCGACGCTGTCGACGCTGAGAGTGCACTCTATCGAAGTGGCGTCCAACAGCTCGACGCAGATCACGTACTGATTCTTGGACAGGACGTTGTACTGCCTGCTCTTCTTCAGGTGGAACTTGAACGGCATCTTGGCAACCGCAAAGTAGCTGAAAGAGGGAATACGCATATAGCGGAATGCGGACAAACGTACGGCACGCGACTCGGCCCGGTTTTCATCAACGTTCACTTTGAGTTCGGTCCAACTCATCCCGCGTCTCTCTCCAACGCTTCCCTCGGGAGAGAGACGGAGGATGAATTAAACTGGGATCAAAGCTAAGTCGACGTCGGCGAAAACCGGGATCAGAGATGCGAGGCACGAGTGAGAGATCGTAGGTTAGGAAGAGCTGCGCGACTCACGATTACATTTAAATGCCGCCGTTCGCGTCACGGCGAGGTGCTATCTATCGCTCCGAATCGCGATAAAGCGTCGGGACGGCAGATCGGCGACGTAGCGACGAGTCAAGATAACGATACGCACGTCGCGCACGTATACGCGCAATACACTCACTCGATGTCTTAAAATACCGTGCGCCCATCACTCCCCCGCGTAAACATGCGTGAAAACATCACTCGGCGGGCGCGTCGCGTCGCGTCGCGCACGTCACATCGCGCGCGCGAGATGGACGCGCGCGCTTCGATAATTCGAGGCACCGCTGTCGATGCCCGTATCAGTTGATAACGGCGGATATCGGGAACGCGAGCACCGAATTCCTCTTAAATTACCGCTCGGCCCCCCGCGCGCGGTGTCCACCCTCGTCGACGAGGAGGCGGAGGAGGTGGACGAGGAGAGATGTGTGCTCTCTCCTCTCCGCCCTCCGGCCGCGCACGGCGCGAGAGTATCGATACTCGACGCCGAGATATCGAGCGGCGCCGACTGCCGAGGACTCGAGGAGGCGGCATCGATACCCACCGCTGTCGGAGTCTCGGAGTCAACGGCCATCGCCACCGGCCGCAACAGCTGACACAGCCACACACAGCTGGCCCGTGAGTCTGGCGGAGCGCCGCGATTCGAGAGCGATGGCAGTGGTCGCGCGCGTCGTGCCGGCGCGCCGTCGACAATGAGAGAAAGGGATATCGCCGCGCTGCGTCCGTACACGCGCCCGCCCGCCCGCGCCACCGTCGCTGCCGCCCCGCTGCCGCGTCGCACGCCCACCGAATGCTGATAAGGGACCGCGGTTGAGATCCGCGTAGTTCCCACGCCGCTGGCCCCGGGTCCCCGCTCGCGGTGTCGCGTCACATGTGCCACGCCGCGCGGCGCCGCGCGAGGGAAAATGAGCATCCTGCGGAAGAGGTAAGCGAGCGTGACATCTGGCGCGCGCGCGCGCGCGCAGGAGGCGCCGGACCGTCGGTTCACGTGCGTGGCTTGGTTGCAGATTGAGCGAGTTCGACGACGTGCTCGACGCGGACGAGATCGACACGGCCAGCCTGAGCAAAATATGTTTCCACGGTACGCCCGTGTCGCGCCCGACCGATCGCCCGCTTCGTCGCGGACGATTCGGTTCTTCCGGTGGTCTTGACCACCGTGTTTACGAGAGCTCTCTCGCGACGTCTTTTCTCTTTCAGGCATCCCCGACGAGCCCGGCGGCCTGAGACCCCTGTGCTGGAAGCTGCTGCTCAATTATCTGCCGCCGGCCAAGTCCAGTTGGCTGGAGACTCTGAAGCGCAAAAGGGAGCTGTACAATACCTTCATCGGTAAGCGGACGCTTTGCTGTCGTTTGTTCAGTGAAGGTAATTTAGCGCGTAGCTCATTCACGATGCGTATTTGGCAATCTCGTAGAGGATCTTATTGTTATGCCTGGAGAGTCGAATGCCGACGACAAGGAGAGAGTCGACGTGACGTTACATGATCATCCGCTCAATTTGAATCCAGACAGTAAGTGGCAAACGTACTTTAAGGACAACGAGGTTCTACTTCAGATTGATAAAGATGTTAGGCGAGTATTGAACTATAGACACTTTGAAAAGTCTCTCTTTGACGCATCGATAAGGACAGGGAACCAATAGAGACAATTTTACCTGTACAGACGGCTATGTCCAGACATATCATTTTTTCAACAAGGCACCGATTATCCATGTCAAAAGATAGTGAACGCTAACGGCCAGCAGCGTCTACACCACCGAGTTCAGCACACGGTGCTGAAAAGCGCGAACGTCGAGAGAAAGGGCTTAGGGGTGACCAAGGTAAAAACCTACAAACGATTAAGGCTTCCATCGCTAATTTCCTTAAATTTATTAATAGATTTTACTTGTCTTTGCCTTTACGTTGACGTGGAAAGCAGCAGGTACTATAAACGATGCAAGTAGAGTAATATGTTTTACCTAGTAAGATAGCGTTAGAAAGTTCCTCTTTGCGTTGCTGCGCTTTGCGAGCAGTTCCGTGTCAGTGAGACAGTTCCGTAATATTCTGCGAGCGCAACACGTTATCGCGCCACATTACTGTATTTTATCTGTTAGATAGCGGTTTCTGTCAGAAAGGCTACGGAAGATTACGCGCCGTTGGCCGAGGGTGGCGAGGCACACTGGGAAGTGTTGGAAAGAATACTCTTTTTATACGCCAAGTTAAATCCCGGCCAAGGTTACGTGCAGGGAATGAATGAGATAGTCGGACCTATATATCACGCGTTCGCTTGCGATCCGGATCCCACGTGGAGAAGTGTGTACATTACGACATAAGCAATTGAGACGCAATCTGAATAATATCTACTGACAGCTGATGTGTACCTTTCGTCTCGTAGAACACGCCGAGGCAGACACTTTCTTCTGCTTTACCAATCTGATGGCCGAGATACGCGATTTCTTCATAAAGACTTTAGATGAGGCGGAATTCGGGATTAACTCGATGATGAGCAAATTGACGAATCAAGTTCGAGCCAACGATCCCGAGATTTGGCTGCGTCTACATCAGCAGGAACTATGCCCGCAATATTACAGCTTTAGGTATAGCGTATGATTGCCGTCGTCATCGATATTTGTAAAGCCTTGTGTCCACAGTGCTAGAAATCGGTTCGAAATCTCGTTCCGTGAAATATGTTCTCTCTGAAAGTCAAACAGTGAATTATCACGGAAAACAGTGAGTAGTCACTGATTCACAATTCTAAGTAGGTATACTTGTAACTGTGAATCAGTGAGTGTTCACTGTTATCAACGATAATACACTGATAGACTTTTAGAGAGAGAGAGAGAGAGTAGCCAATCAACTTCAGCTTTGCCATAAAAACTGCAAGTTGATTGGCTACATATCTCTCGGATCGAGATCTCAGAGCAATTTCTAGCATCGTGGACGCAAGTCTTAATTCTCATTGTTATCGCTATTCTCGTTCTCGGAATAAGATGGTTGACGCTCCTCCTCTCGCAAGAGTTCCCCTTGCCGGATGTTATGAGAATATGGGATTCCTTGTTTGCCGATGATAACAGATTCAGTTTCCTCATACATATCTGCTGTGCCATGATCCTGTGAGTGAACAAATCTTGTGTTTCTAGCAGTAATTTTCGTTGTTTCTTTAAAACGTGTGTATCTTCAGATTACTGAGGGACCAGTTGCTGGCCAGCGACTTTGCTGCAAACGTTAAACTCCTGCAGGTGAGAAATATAAATGTTCCATTGCACGTATGAGCATTTATATTTGTTATTATTATTAGAACGTACCGTGAAAAATAATGTGTTCTATGTCCAGAATTTTCCCTCGATGGACATCCAGATTGTGCTCTCTAAAGCCGCTGCCCTGGCAGGCAAGACCTTATGATTTTCTTAATTATTAATTACGAATATGGACACGATGCAATTATGTCGAGTATCAATAATTTTCTTCCTCTTCCCGAGTTGTTACGATCACAGTTGCGTGATTTATATATTGCATGATAAAGCGTAATTTTATATACCATCGTCACTCCAGAGGAAAGGAATGCAATAAAATATCAATTATAATATAATATCATGTAGATGTTCGAGCCGACAGTCGATCTTATATCAAACATTTAATAGTTGTACATACGATACGCACTATCGTAGCGAATACTGAGATCTATGTACAGCATTTTGCTACATGTTAAATTTTTTGATATATTTAAAGCGTATTTGTGTACATACATAATGTTATAGTGGAGTGTAACATTCAGCCGAGGAGTATCAAAGTATAAATTTGTACGAGAGACACGATAATCGTTTCGTAAAACGGCAGGTAATGATAAGGTGAGAATTAAGTCGAATAGGAAAGTCCCGATTTGAGCTTTCCCGATTGTCCGATACAATTTGATGAATTTATCAATAATCGCATCACAATAGATTAGTACCGTTTATACCGCGCCATAGCAATTACACGATACGTCAAGAGGAGAAATTACATTTTGTAATCTTATTTTTGTAATAAAACGCGCCGTTCGAACTACGTTTATAAAATAAAGGGAAACGTTATATCAGTTCCATCCTATACGTGCCACTGTAATTCGATTACTTGGCGAACGGTCGACGACACACCTCGAGCCTTCTAGAAATACGCGTTCTTCATTCTACTCGCGAGAGAGTCAGAGAGAGAGAGAGAGAGAGAGAGAAAGCGACGATCATTATTGGATTAATAAAGCCGCCGCGTTCCCTAGCAGAGCAAACCGAATTTCCAGATTTTATTTCATCTCGTCTCGCTCTCCGCGGAGTAGAATGATTGATCCGGACGACGGCGGGAATATTAATCAGAGCACATCTTGGTTATTCGCGCCGGAGCTACTACGCCAACGTTTCCATCGCGGACTGCGTAACGCGATAGAGACGCGCTGGGATTATTATCAAAGAACAACGGGAGGGACTTGAGAGAGACACAAGAGTGTTTCGTGCGTGATCGAGGGAGAAACTGCACGGAAGAAAGCTCTCCGCTTACGTCGCGGAATTTAGAAATAGCGCAAAACGCACGTCTTCGCGCGCAGGCAGCGTAGAAAATTACGGGGGGGCCGCGGCCCGACCGGCGCGCGGCCTTCCTCTTTATCGCCAACGACGCGCTTTGTTGGGGCCCGGGACCGGACGTCCACTCGTCGCGGCCCGAACCCCCGGCGTGGCGAATCGCTGCCGTATCCTCGAGATTTCGAGATACCGGGCGTAAGAGTCGCGCGAGAAGTCGCCCGGAGAAGGAGGGCACCCGCGCTCGTGTGGGTGGACTTTTATGGCGGTTGATTACCTGATTTATAATCTCTATTCGCGCGGGGGCCCGTCCGGGGCTTGGCGACGGCGGCCGGGCCCCCGATCGAGCCCGCAAATCATCGTCGCGTTTTGGCGACGGAGGGATACTCTCTTTCTTCGAGCTGTACTCGTCGAGCCTCTGTACACTTGGGCTGATGCGTTCGGAAACGTCACCCGAGTGCTCCAGTCTATCGTTTTATCCTTATTGCTCGTGTTAAGGGTATGCTGGAGTGATTCTGCACTTCTTGCCATCTAGAACTGTCAGTTCGTGAAAACATTTGTGTAATATACAAATTACGTGACACTTTTCTGCACAGACCGACAGTGCTCCACTATTCCGACTAAATTGGAGAAGAGCACGGTCTCGTTGAAGTTAAGTTTAGAAGGCTAAGAAAAAGTCTATTCGCTCAAATAAGTTCAACTTGTAACTTATTTGAGTGAACAGATTTTTTGTTAGGCTTCTAAACTTAATTTTAATGATACCGCGCTCTTCTCCGATTTAGTTCGAATAGCGGAACACTGTCGGTCTGCGCACAAAGGCCAAATGTTTTCGCGAGTTGGCAGTTCTAGATGCAAGAAGTGCAAAAGGATAAAATGGCACTGGTGCATTCGGGTGATGTTTCCGAGCCCAGCGTTGGCTAGAATCCAAGGCGAAGGCGCTCCGCGAGCGTTCTCCAGTGTCGCGCTCGTCTTCGTTGCGCGTCAGTAGGACGACAAGTGGCGCGACCGTAATGGCGACCTGACGGCAATCAGGGTTTAACGAAGAGGATCCCGGGAGCAGAGCGGGCTCTATAAAACCGGGCAAAAACTAGTAGATCTCTACCGTAAACGCGCCCGTCGTCATTAGGGCCGAAGCTCGAAATTTACCTCGGCCCGTCGCCGCCTACCGGCTAATCAGAGATCGCGGACTTTATGATCGCCGATGCGATCGTTAAAGGATAAATACGCGCCGGGGAGACGGCTCTGCCTTCTGGTAGTCGGGACTCGACGTCGGGGATTCATCAGGGCTCGCGTATCGCCCGGGGATAGAACCGCGTTCTTATTAAAGCGGAATCCAATCCGGGAAGTCGAGGCGGCTCTCGGTGATTACACTGTATTCCGTTTATGAGCGACACGGGGAAAAATCGCGGAGAGGCGTCTGAATAATCCGTTCTAAAAACGCGCCGTCCGTTACTTGCGATTCAAGTTCTTAGGAGCTCTCTTAGAGGCATCGGCGATACGCGAGGCGCATTGTAATCGAGTTCCGCGCGAGGGTCCGTTTTCTGGCTACGCCATTGGCACGGCCGGGGCCCGGGATGCGCGCCGAGTCCACGGGTTCCCGGGACTTCTTCACCCGCATCAGCTCGCACGCGGAGGAGGTGACACGCGGAGCCATCGGGGTTGACGAATGTGCCAAGATCGGCCGGGGATGACTCGGCAGGATTGTCCGCCGGCGTTCCCAGCGGTGGTCCCGGCGCGACTTGCATACAGCACACGGATTGATGGATCCTGACCTCTCAAAGGAGGGCTTCGGCACGCCTTTCGGGACATGATAGATTCGTGCGCGCGACCTAATACGGACTTGGGAATCGGCGAGAGGTCGCGCCGCCGATCCGTCTCGCCGAAACGTGAAAAGCCCACGCGGCTGCGATCCCTTCCGGGCGTCCGAGCACTTTTCGCGGCTCCTCGATGCGTCTCCTCCGGCGCAGCCCTCCTCGTCGAAGCCCGCTGTCTCTATCAAACCGTTCCAGCCGGGGCGACGCGACGTTGCGATACCATCGCGGGCGCGACACGGGCTATCGGGCACTGTTTACAGTTAATTTACCGTACCGTGGCACGGCGCGTTATCTCCTATTCGTTGGTGGTCCAACGTATCAAGGATCTCAATCATTTATTTGTGCCGGTGGAGATACACTCAGCGTGCGCGTCTATCTGTCGCTTCGTGCATTGTACGCGGGGTTTCACCTCTCTCATGCCGCGCGGAGAGACGCGTCACGACGTTACGAAGCCGATTTTATATACTGCCGCGATCGCGCGCGCGCATGTTGTCCCATTACATAATAACTCGCTGCCATCCGGTCGAGCGAGAGAAAGAGACAGAGAGTCAGAGAGATTATGCCGATCCGTAGATTATCGGCATTCGATCGATAGACGTCTACGCCGACAACCGTCGCCGCCGCGTTCGCCGCGCGATCGATCCTCCGGGGAGGGATCCCTTTGGTCTTCGCCGCCATTCATCCCTCCCCGCCTGAATGCGGGGCCTTGTTTCCGCCCGCGACGTTTCCGGCCGCGCGCGACACGGATATCGCGCCACGAGGAAACGTATCCTCTCGACTCAACGGAATCGATATTGCCTCCCTCAGGTAGTACGTGCGAGGGCGTACGTATGATATGTACGCGCGTGTGCGCGCCCGTCAGAATTCGCCGAGTATCTGCTCTTTGCGAAAATTCCCGCCGTCCCTCACGTCCGAACAAAACGCATATCGCGCGATAACGAAATCCTCAACCCCCGGCGCGGGGAGAGGCGCCCTAGAGTTTAGCGATCTCTAATGAACTGCTAGCCCGTTAGTTAGCTCAGTTCTCTCTCTCTCTCTCTCCCCCTCTCCCTATTTCATCTATGTCTATGTACGTTGCGTGCGGGTGTGTACAGTGTGTACCTGCTATACTATACACCGCGTATAATCCACCCCGACGGGTATGGTAGAAAGAGAGGGCGAGAGACAGAGAGAGAGAGAGGAGGGGGCTTTGAAATGCGGAACGCGGTACGTACACGTAGATACAAATAAATCCTGTTAGCTGGTACGAGAGCCGCGGCACGAGCTCGCTGCAAAGCCGAATTTTCGTTGCTCTCGGCTCACATCTGCGAATATTTGCCCGTGGGTAGCACATTACACCCCCGACCCCGGTTGCAACCCCGGGCTTGTAACTACCGACTGCTCCTCCTCCTCCTCCTCCTCTCGGTTCTCCCCCTGGAGAACCGCGTCCGCCCCCCCCCCCGGTACCCCCGGAACACCCCCCCGCGTTACGCGTGCGGCGGAATACGTCGCGGTTAAACCCCGACCGCGCTCTTCTTCCCGGTCCGCTCGACGAGCGAGACGCCGGGAATTTGCATCTTTACGGGATTACGGGCGCAATACGGCCGGGAGGACGTGTACGACGATCGGGAGCGGATTAAGTTCGACGCTTACAACTGTAATAACAGACCACCCGGCCGAATCGGCGCGCGCGGAGCCCCCCTCCGTTTCTCCGATTTCTCCCGTCTTGCCGCGCAGCGTCCGCGTAGCTTCGACACGTCGGCTCGCATCAGGCTGAGCCGCTACGCGAACAATCGATCATTCATCAGACCGTCGCTTCACGCGATCGTACTTTTTTCCACGTCGCTCGCGTTACTTAATTAGGCATTGGCGGCGTCGCGCTCGCGACACGCGTAATTAACACGTGCCTGGATCGCCGCGATAAGGAAAGATGAGAATTATCGTTGCGAGAGGGTCCTTTGTACGTGTTACCGTCGCGCGCGTCTCGCGCCTGGATCGTGCGCGTATGCGTATTGTCGCGCGTCGCGGTGAATCGCGGACGATCATGATGAATCATCAAGAGTACGCGGCGCGGTATTACCAGGCTGATTCTCGACATCCCGAATTATTCGCGGGACACTCGCCGTTATAAATTCGCCGTTCGCGTCCGACCCCTGGCCATGGGTTTCGAGCGTGGCGGCGGCGGCGGCGAGACGCGAAAATGGCGGTTGGGATCCTGAAATTTCGTGAGGAGGAAGCCGCGCCTCTCGGGACGCTAAAAACAAGGGAGAGCAAGAGCGGCGGCAGAGGGAGAGAAGGGGTTGCCGGGAGGCGGGGACCCTCTTTTAATTTTCTTTTAGCCGCCGCGTGAGCAGCTAATTTGCGGCTGCGAGCTCGGTTTGACAGGAAGGAAGGAAGAAGGGGCGGGAGAGAGAGAGCGGCCGGGGAAAGAAACGATTGAGAAGCGGAGGGATCGCGCGGATATAAAGGAGGAAATAAATTTCTCTCCTTGTGATTTGCATGCAATGAATTTCCAATTCGATCGGACGCCCTTTGATGCCGCGCGCCGATCGCGGCTTGATTAACGCACGGTCGCGCATCGCGCCCAATTTTTTCACGTCGCGTCGCGTCGACGGTCTATCATCGGTCGTCCGGTCGTTACCGCGGTCTCTGCAAAAGTGGAGGGACGATTTGCTGAAAGCGAATCGCCTGTGCGGGGGCGTGGATTATATCGTATACTTCTGGTCTCAGAGAAGATCTTCAGTTTCA